AGTAATCCCCCCATAAATGTGTCTGTTATTATATAAATGTTATATAAATGTGTTGCAACAAATCACTGGTGCATGCACTTTAATACACAACATAAGCTGTTATGTTATGTAACATAAAGAAAAAGCAAATTATAACATTTACACTTACAAATACATGAATACAATATTTAGGGTTCACCGTTCCTGGTAAGGCATATTTATTGTTCCTTTCAGTGTGTGTATGTTTAATAAATTGTAAATGTGAATTGCAGAAAATAAAATTTAGCTTTTTTATTTATTCATTTTTGGTTTTTTGAGTTTTTGTACAGCGTTTCTTCCTGTTGTGTCACTGTGACTCTCGAGCGCAATAATAAACAGCTGAATCCTCAGTTGTCAAACTGTTCATCTGCAGATACACCTGCTTTCTGCTGTTGTCTCTGGAGATGGTAAATCTGCCTTGGACTGACTGAGAGTAGTAGATGTAGGTACTGCTATCACTGATAGCAGATATCCATTCCAGTCCTTTTCCAGCAGCCTGTCTGATCCAAGCGTTCCAGTGATCGCTACTGAACCCTGAGTACGTACAGGTCAGTCTGTGTGATTCTCCAGGTCTTTTAATGACTGATTCAGACTCAGTCAGTGTTTGACCTTCAGTACCTACAAAAAAAACCCCAGCTCATTAGATACAATGATGCAGACATTTCATGTGTTTTCATCAGTAACAGTAAATCTATAATCCTTACCAGCCCAGTTCACTAAAAGAATGAGAAAAGTGAACCAAATACGAGGTCTGATCATGATGAAAGCCATTTATCTCTGCTCAGTCTACAGTGGGTACATCAATGATTTACTCTCTGTTTTATGTAAAGATAAACTAGAACACAGTTTTGCATCAGCTCCTCCCTCAAATACAGAACCACACTGTAACTTGTAGTACTGATCATTTCATTGCATTATTATTTGAAATGTTTTACTTGTTAAGCAAATGTTTTCAGGTAAGACTCCCCAAGCTATTTATTTATTTGTTAGTATAGTATAATAGTAAAAATTATAGTAAATAGTAAAAATTATACTTGTTACTCCCTTCAAAAAGTACATTATGTTTAAGCATTTGTTTTTGGAAGCCAGGAAATCAGGAATTCAAAACTACAATATACATGTGTGTCTTTTTGTTTAAAGTTTTCTAAATGCTGATCTACTGGCACCTTTAGGTTTTGTCAGATTTTTGTGAAGCATCAGTGTTTCTGTGTTTATGATAGTGGTTCATTTTACTGTAAAGTATGAACAAAGTAAATAAAAATGAATTCTGT